CCCCTTCCCCCTCCCTATCTCAGATATCTCCCATACTCTATTATCTACTGCTTTGTTACTTGCATAGAACTACCCCACTTCTTTGCAACAGATTTTGCCGTCTCATCTCTAAACGTCTTGGACCAACTTTCAATAGCTCATGATGTCAACTAACCTTGTAACAGTATTAGGATCAGTTGATATTTGTGGTTTGTAATGATCCCGTTGGAATTACTAAGTATTGCAATAGGATGACAAGCCTAGTATCACACTGTTTATGAATACATTATATATTATAATTATATAACATATTTTTGGAAAGCCTTGAAATAAAATGATTTTGTTTTACGTTTATCGTTTCTCCAATTATATTCTAAAGATTCCGGCGAGTACCGTTTAATTTCCAGAAACTCTCACTTACACTCAACAAGGTAAACAAAACGGAGCCAAACGCGAGAGATTTTCCTGTCAGAGCTGGTATGTGGTTCGATAACAGGTTGACATTATTAACTAGTGCAAAGCTTGAGGCTTTAGTGACTATGGTAATATTAAAAGTAATGTACTGGTGGAATATTTGACCACTTTTCTTACTTTCGAGAATAGGATAAGGTCGAGATTACCTTTTGTAAAAGGAAAAAAAGAACTTAATAATTTTAAAAGAAGAAGAAATCAGACGAAATAGAAAAGTATAGGTAGAGGAAAAGAGATTTTGGTTGGTTGTTCTCCAAAACACATACAATTTTCATGAGGTTTGACAAAATCAAATGCTAAATAGTAATAAGATGTCCAAAAAATGTTGTTTAACAATTTTGTTGAAGTAATGAATCATCAAAGGCAACTGTACGAAGGCGATGGGAAGGTATTGTTTAGCACACGTAGAGACTTTTCTCATTCATTGCCAATAGCAGGGGTCGATGGCTTGTAATTAAGCTTCGACCAGATGGCTCTTCAGGTCTCCTCTCTGCAGAAATCCTTGCAATGATTACAATAAACTTTTTTCAGGAGAGTTTATCACGGTTTCACCCGAATGAATGTCAAACCATTGATATTGGTCTTGATATTCAGCTGAGTAAAGCTTAAAAGGCACTATACTGAACAAGTGCTTACCCGTGATGGCGTTAAAGCATGATATTTTACTGAATACAGAAAATTTTAAGCTTAAAGCTTAAAGCTGAATAATTCGTATCTGCTTAGTAATATCAATAAAACATGACCAAAGTAACGACTAAAGATTAGAACTCATGAACCGTGAGGTATAGCCCTTTTGTTTTGGTTTCGTTACATATGTACATATATATGATTTTTTTCGCGCCAAAAATAAAACCCCAAAACAGTCAGTATCCAAGATCTCCCAAGACTAGTTATTTAAGCGAGACATATATACGCATTTACTAGAGCATTAACTCGGCCAATTCTGCTACCGGTCGTAAAACCGTGAGTCATATTGAATGAAAAAACAAGCATAAGCAAAGTAATTACCATTCGAAAGAAATATTCATAAAAATATTGATTATGCTTGGCTTTTGTTCCGATCTTTTTTATCAGTTGGATTGGAAAACCAGCAGACGCGATCGATTCTCAATGATCTAGGTTGTTATGCCTGATAAAACTGTTTCAGGTTGTTATTTTTTAATTCGAGATATCACAAAGTTAAAGTTAAAAGCGAAAGAGATAAACAGTTCTGCTTAGTGAAGTTTTTATCTGCGTATTTTTATTTTTCCTGATATGTTTTCCTCTGGTTTGACTCGTTTTGTCAAATTATGTCAGCTCCATGCAGATGTAAACAGCACTGCTTGGATCATCTTTTGAGGAAAGTCGGCGTCGCGGGTTTTTAGGATGTTTAACCTCGTCGATATTCGCTTTTCTACTCCAAGAATCAAACAGACACTAAAATGATCTCTATAAAGGAGCATTTCCACTACAATTTGAGAGCGTTTCTAAATAATTCATACATTTGAACAAGATTTCCCATCTCCTGTACTGATCAATGACAATGGAGACTGTCGTTGTAATATCTCTTCCCAAAAGAAACGAGAATGTCCAAGTGTATGAAATATATCTTAACGCTTTTGTATTCAAGCACGAATATATATATATATATATTTGTAGTGTATCTAAGATTGATTATGTGATATTTTTAGTCAAAAGGTTTCGGATGAATTGTCTCTGAAAAATTAGAATGAATTATAGGAGCTAGTATGAAAGAAAACAAGCTTTATCGAGAGACAAGCCGGAAGAAAAAGATCCTGAAAAATTCCCCGTAGACGATTTGGYTTTTACCCACTTTAATATATAAAGCAACTCGGAAAAATATAACTTTGAATTTAGTTATGGAAATGTACAACGTATCAGACAGTTTTATTGGCTGGTAAGAACCCAGCGAATTCTGAATTATTGCATCTGGCCATCTCGCTTGTCAAATGTGCTTTTCTTGGGTTTAACTTCCGTTAAGCATCTATACTGGCCGACTTGCGTACATATTATGTATCTACACTGAGCTGGCCACTCAACTTACCTATTTTTCCATCCTGATTTACGTCGAATCGTCGAAAAACACAGGCGGCTAGCTTGGTCGCATCGCCTTGGCGAAACACTTTCTTGTACATTTCGATAAACTGTTCCTTAGTAAGGTAGCCACTCGGGCAGTCTTTGAGAAAACCTTTGTACCAGGATTTCAGTTCCTTCTCGTCAAAATTAGTGCGTCTCATAAGATCGTTAAGCAGCTGAGGATCCAGCTTACTCTGCTTTTTCCCCATAACGACTCAACTTCTCACGCTAAACAATAAAAAGTAAAACTGTATTCAGTGGCCACAAATTCCCCAGCAATTTCTCAATGTCTCTCCGTATTTCAGATATCAAAATCAAATGTATTCTGGTAAAATTTAACTCGGCTCTTAGTGTGAGCAATCAGCCGTCTTAAAGTCGCTCGATCACTTGTGTTATTCAACCAGATACTCCACATCACCTGTCCATAGTAACTATGGTACCAAAGATTGCCCCTCGGTCCCCTACTGGGGATTAAAGTAAGTTTGATTACGTCGAGTGCAAAAAGCTTCATTTTGCATATATTAGTAGGATTGTAGCGGTATATTTACAAAACATGTTCAMAGCTTCAGGCTTTTTTAGATTTGTGGCCAAATGCTCGTTTGACTTTTTAAAACCGGGGAAAAAGATCCAGATATATATTTGAATGGATTCCAAAACTTCGCTTTTCGTTTTTTATAGTTCTTTACATTCTGTGGTATTTGTGGTGTGGCAATGGATTGTTAATTTCCAAGGCGTCAAGAAACAACTTTATGCAATGACCAATGGACGTTCTGAGGTAAAGCGAATATAGAATCCTTGATTTGCCACTGCATTAAGTACCTCACCAGAACAAAACGCAATAAAAATTTTGTCGGTTATGAGTTTGGAAAAAAAAGCTCCATTATCACTCAAAGCAAGAAGAATAATCTCCAATTAATCTGTTTTTAATATCTCGGCCAGCCAATCAGGATCCCGAAAACATGTCACCTAATGATTTTAAAAGAGAACTGAGTGTTTTTATCTGCAAGCCATCCATTCATTTCACCAGTTTTTATCAATCGCTTTAGCACTCCAATAATAAAGAACCGATGACGTCAACCACAGTTTTTTTACACTAGTGAACTTCAACCAGTATAACACTATGCTAAATATAGCTTGCATTCAAAGGTTTTTTTGATTAAAATACATATATTCTCTTTTTCTAAAAAAAATAAAACATCAGTGATAAAAATCGCATCCAAAAAACACTGAAATCTTATCGCTTGGGTGTACAATGTATAGAGCATTTTAAATAGAGAACGTCAGTAGAATGAACAAATATCTCTCTCTTACTCCCTGGATTCACACAAGAATTATCGAACACCTATTCTATTTGTAAAATTGCCAGTTGCATGGCTCTATTGATGATTGGCGCTTTGTATACAGTATTATAATTTCTCCTCAGATAATCAGAAAACGAAAATAACCGTTACCTTATCTTCAAAAGAACTGATTGTTTTTCAGGTACAGTRCTGCAGAATTCCTTGGCTTTAGTAGGCAAATCCTTTGTACAAGTCCTTATATATGCTCTCAGTATATTTACCCACACGAAGTAGGATTGTCTAGGACTAAATTCAATTATCAAAATGATCAATAGGTCTCATTGTTCTACAGCTGCTCGGTAAATACGTCAAAGACCAGTGGAATAAACCAATTGTAATGGACCCTTATTCATCTATCAGCCGCCGTCTTCAGTTGCGCACATGACCAAAACCGAATAATTCATGTTTGTATTTTGGCGGCTTTTCCTTTAGTGTCAGTGTTCATTCGTGGTCTGAAGCATTAACTATCAAAATTAAATTATGTATAATTCGGAAAATCATCATCATAATTATTATCATGATAATGGTTCAGCCGAGCACGCCTCGCAAAAGTGTTAATCACGTCCACGATCTTATGCATTCCTAATGAGGGATTTCCTCGCAAGGCTTTATCGAGCCGATATTCGATAACTGTACTACTATTAAGTTCTTTCTCGGAAAAGCCGGGTTGTCGATTCGTCGGCAATGAATACTAACAGGAATGCTTATGTGATAAATTAAAATACTTTTCTAGTTCAGACATCCTGAGCTGAATTAATAGTCTGAATAAGAGGGGAAAACTAATGAAGAAGGAATACATTGAAAGACAAAACTGAAACTGGAAAGGGCTGAATTGTAAGAAGTTAAGAAGATTAGAATTGAAAAAAGTAAATCCTTTGAAAATGAATGAAGGAATGATTTTTGAAATTAAATTCATGAGACCTTTTATTTCGCAGTTCCCATTTTTTCACACTTCTTGGTAATAAATGGCTTATTATGCATCAAAAAACTGCCCTGTAAAAGCCGACGAAGCAGCGTGAAGTCGCAGTACAGTTATGCCTATTTTCCGTATGCATATCTCGTCCCATACATTTTTCCTCTCACTCTTTCTCTTTTTCATCTCTACTTTCTTTTTTCTCTTCTCTACCTTCTTCAAATAAAAATGGTTCAAAATCAGCATTTGCAGTCTTAAGACCATACCTTTTTTTCCCTCAATCAACTTGGCAGTAGCTTCCGTCTCTGACATCCAAGTGCCTTTAAGTCTGTCTCTAGCAACTTGCAGACTTGCTTTTATGGTTGCCATAACGACAAATGAAGTCACAATATTTACAGAGGAAAGTGGGGTAAGCGTTTGGTTGGTTGATTTAAATAAGATTGTCTCCTATCGCATCATTAAAAATACATGTTCTCTCACAGGATTACACTCAGATCGACCGAGATAACAAACTCCGTTTATTCTAAAAAAAAGAAAAAAAGAATTGTATAAAGAATTGCATGGAAAAAAACCCGATAAAGCTGCCTATGTCGAAGTAGATGTGAAGGTAAAAGCGAGTGCATATAGAAGGAAATAAGAGAAAGGAAGATTGTGGATCAAGCTAACGTGAACACAACGTGTTAACCTACATAAAACAGAATAAATCAAATTGTAAAAATAAATAAATAAATAAATAAAATAAAATGAAAAAGTAAATAGGGATATGGGGGAGAAAGAACAAAAGAATTGGCAAAGTCAAGATAAATGAAAATCACTAACTTTGCATGAATAAATAAAAACATCCCTTATGTTTGTTTGGCAAAAAAGGACAGAGAAGAACCCGAGGAAAAAAAGAAAGAAAGGAATATCGGAAAAAAATAGATAAATGAAAAAGAATTGAACTGCATATAGCAAGTAATGTAGATGTTATTAGCTACACTCTTCCATGCGCACAGTGACACTTCTCTGTACATATTTGTTTAATGAATAATTCAGAGCCTACAAACAGCTAAGTATAGCTTGTCATGATAATGAGTACTGTCTAGTTACCGAGCATTGTTGCACACAATCTGCACCAATAAAGAATATACACCCATTAAACGATAAATACTATTTCTTAAAAATGAAACAAAAAAATATACAGTGGGATAATTCTCTCCTCTAAAATTTAGCTCAACAATTTTAAACGATCTGGATGTTGTTGCTCTCAGTCTCAGTTTTACCTGAACAACGGTGAATTTTTCGCGCCTTTGGTTGTATAGTTTAACAGATAATCATAGTTATTTCGTGAATATGTTAAGGATGATTTCCACCCGGCCTTTAACTAGCTTTATGCTTTTGGCATGTTTAACAGGCAAGGCGAGCAGAAAGAAAGATGTCAATAAAGACATCTCATTATCTGTTGAATTAAAGTAATTGATATAGATACTGTCATCAAAAGTTCGTAGTTTATACATATACCCTTACTTATACGGCTTACATATTTTTTATTAAATAATAACTTTCCTGTTCAATTTCAGTGCAAACTTAAATAATTAAAATTCTACATCCCACGATGTTTTAATATTTCATGGCAGTCCATTTCGATTACTGACCACGTTAATTCATTTATTCTTTAAACTTCAGAAAAACAATTAAATACCCTTTTCTCAAATAATCAGTACAAGAAATAAATAATTAAAAACTGCATGCAGGATAAACGAAAATAATAATAATAATTAAACAGCCATGGACACTTTTATATGATGCAAAAATTATTCTAAGGGAAGTACAATTAATCGTTGTCCCTAGCAAAAAAGGTTAATATTTTTTGTTATCGAAGCTGTCTGTCTTCGTTTCCATATATTCTCTTCCTCTTTTTTTTTTCATATCTTGTTGTTGTCGCTGTCACCCCCGGCCGTACATGCCTTTCTTTCCATTCCATTCCCTTCCCTACTGTTTTGTTCTGTCGTGTTTAATTTACTCGAGGAAAACCTTAGCCACACCTCTAAAGCAAAAAGGTTTCGTTACAAATGTCCTGGTGTTTGAATTTACGTGGGAAGTATTAGTTAAGTGAAATATATAAAAACCCAAATAAACCTATTGTGGTTTTTTGATCCTTTAGCGGTGCAATTATTCGGATTAAGGCATTTTTTACAGATGCTGGAAAACCAGAAGGAATATTATGCTCACGCAAGCTCATGTGCGTCGCAATCATGTCAAGGTTCGTGGTGATTATCAATCAAAGCTTGCACTGTTGTCAAGTTAAGTTTTGGATGTTTTCTGACGAGGATTAATAAGGGTTTATATTGACGGATCTATTTGCAGAACATTCAAGTATAAACACAAAAAAATAATCACACTTTTATTATTACTGTAAAAATTCAAACAATAATTACTTGACATTGATTACATGTTCTCGATATTTTTTACTTGTAAGCGTTGAATAATAAGTACGTTTAAATACCAAAAGTTAGGAATAGACCGTTTTTTCAAGGTTGCGTGCTCATCCATCTTGACGGGCCACAAAATTGAAAAACGCAAATTCAGTAAAATTGAAAACCCAGTTTTATATTTAAAGAGGAGTATAATCGATTTTATGAATTCTTATCGAAAAAAATTCATAGCAATGCATGATAATACTCGTGTTTTGGTATCGTGGCCCGTCAAGTTCCTTAAATTTGGATGCGCACGCAACCTTGAGAAAACGGTTTATAAAAATTTAAAACTGAAAGTATTGAATTTGTTAAATGATTTATTTCCTCAAACACCTTGGAATTCCTGAATATACAAGGTATTGGTTTTAAATTGCTTATTAATGATTACTGTGAATACGCGTAAGGATATCATGATGATCAGTATAACACTGATTAACGTCATACTCGAAGAATTCTTGATACCTAAGATTTCGGAGGTTCGCTCGCTCCCATTGCTTCTCGTTGATTAGTCTCCAATACGCTGATTGGGGACTTTAACGAGAAGACCCCAGGAACCCTATGCAAATCTTTATTGATCGTAAAAAAAAAAACTTTTCGCATGAGTATGCATGAAATTTCAAATAACGATGAATGCATTTTGAATTATTAATTTGTAGTAAATGTATTTTGAAAGAAAGTAAGAATGTAACCCCTATCACAGGTTTGATTCCGAGGGAGGGATTCGCCTAACCACAACTCCTAAGAAAATAATGCAAACTACGTTAATGGTTAATACTCGGAGTTTATTACTACTAATAGTATAGCCCATCTAGATGCTTGAAATGCTATTAACCGATGAACATAGCGAAAAATACCTCTTATTTCTTCGAGTAGTATTACTATTTTATTTTCATTATATCGCTGCGCAGAACCTTTTCTCTTTCGGAGTGGTATACGCATTAATGCTTAACCCTTTACTAGCTGTGAATTAATATCGTAAAATGATTATAATAATGGCAGACAGCTGATTATGCGTTCTACATGTATTAATGTACTGTCGCCCCAAAATGGGAATAATATAAAATGTTTTCAAAAATCTTGTTGATTAGATTCGAGTTGCCTTACACTAAAATGCGCTTAAGAACCTTCCTGACTGCACCATGTTGGTAAACTGATGCTCTCCGTGAATGTTGTTGTCAGTATTTGGTTCAGTAAGTATTATACAAATATGCATTATTGGTAGTGTTAGGCTAGCTCTGTTGTGTTTATATGTATGACTTCGTATGGTAACTTTATACCATTGAGACAGTATAATTAGAGTGCTGTATGTAAAATGCGGAGTGTGTGTTTGAATGTAGAGTGTGTGKGTATTATATGATTCTTGGATGACATATATCACTTACTTGATGTACATCGACCACACATTGTGTTTCAATGTACCATAATTACTCGTGCAAACTCTTCGCCACTAATTACACAAAACGCGAACGTCATCCAATTGGTAAAGATTTAAAAAAAATGCACTTGTTAACCCGCTTCGGAAAGTGACGTCATTGTGGAAATTTAAAATTATCAGATTGAATGAGATGAAATTAGTTAATTATAGGATTATCATTACGTTTAGTGCAAAAGTTACTATATTGATTTGTAAGGTTGGTGCAGCTTACTGCTGTTTACACTGTTCCTTGTCTTTGGACGAGCGTCCTGAGCTTCTTCTGTCATTTCTTGGATTACGATCTTCAGATTGTTTACGGTCTTCGTATCTTGTACTACTCATAGGAGCATCATCATCAAAGCTGATTTCTGATTCTGCTGTCTTTGCTTCCGATGCCTCGATATTTTCATCAACTCTGTCCTTCGAGTAGCGTGGACCGTTGCGCTTTCTCTGGTATTGTTCGTCATCGAATGGAACCTCTATCCCTTCTCTTATTCTTCCTGACGTCCTACGAGGGGGGGACTGTACCTTGGGATTTTTGGATACGGTCATTTCAATAGGATCTTCCTTTACTGATCCATTTCTTTCTGGAGAGGGTCTGTCGATCCCAGATCCTTCAGAGCTTAGCTTATAGAGGCTTCTCTTTTCAGGTTGGAGCTGATTTTCTGCGTATGACACGTATCTGGATGGGACTCTTGTTCGTCTGTCGACGTCAAATATCAGCGTTGTAGACGAAGAAGGGTCAGTAGTTGCTTGGCTCTCTCGCAGCTCCTGAATTTGTTTTTCGTATTTTTTCAGTAGATCTTCCAGACTTTTGATCTTATTATTCCTTATCTCATTGTCATTTTCAAGCTCAGCCAGACTCATTTTGTAGTTATTGGTAAGCTCGATGATTTTATTTTCCAGATTTATTTTCTCCTCATGAAGTTCGCCGATGTTTGATTCCTTTATGCCAAGGTCATTTTCATTTTCAGCTAATTCTTTCTTGAGGGACTCCAACTCTGCTTGCAGGTTCTGGATATCGATCTCATCTTGCAGTTTTTCAGCGCGAAGCTTTTCAATATGATTAGCCTTATCAAGAGCATCTTTTCGGTATATCTCACTCTTGTCACCCATGTTTTTCAAATGAATTTCAAGGTCGCCTGTTCCTTTCTCTAATCTATCTCTGTATTCCTCAAGTTGCTCTTGAAGTCGAGCGATTTCTTTGTCTTTGAAAGCATTCTGGTCTTCCAATTTCCTATTTCTCTTCTTCAATGCATCCAGGTCAGCTTCAATTTCAGACAAGTTCCTCCCACCAGCGCGACTTGTGTTGGCCGTGTCTCCAAGCTTAAGCATCAGCTCTTTTATTTCATCTTCCTGATCTTGGACAGTGTCTTGTTCTTTTTTAAGATTCACCTCCAGTTTAGAAATAGTTGCCTGAAGGTTGATCATTTCATCACGAAGCATTGCATTGCGCCTTTCTACATCTGCTTTGGAATCTTCAGCTTCGTTTGTCTTGTCTTCTGCAGACTTCAAACGATAATCAGCATCAGCAAGCTTCCTCTGAACGTCTACGAGTTCCCTTTGAAGCTCGTTTTCGCGGTCCTGGTATTTTCTTCTCAAGGTATCAGCTGATCCATCTTTTTGGTCTATTTTTGCTAGCTGCTTCTCCAAGTCTGCTCGTTTCTTTATGATTGCTTGTAGCTCTCTGTCTTTCTGAGCCATGTCTTGTTTAAGGTCGTTTATTTCAATGACAAGAGATTCTTTTTCTTGTTTTAGTAATTCATTCTCCGTTCTTTGTTCAATAAACTTCTTATTCGCGAGATCAAGCTCATAGAGGGCTTTGTCTTTAGCTGTTTCAAGATTCTTGTTGTCCATCTCAAGTTTTGTGAGGTGTTTCTTCAGGTCATTGAGGCTCTCTTCTGCTTTTACCTTTTGAAGGTGTTTTTCATGCAAATCTTGTTCGAAATCTTTAAGCCTTTGTTCTGCAGCATCTTTCTCTAATTGAAGCTGGTCTCTATCTCTTTTTGCTCCGTCTAGTTCATCAAAGTCAAAAGGTTCACTCTCAACAGCTTCTACCGTAGCAACCTGTATTGGAGCCACTTGGTTTTCAAGCTGGCTTTTTAGACGCATGATCTCGTCTCTTGCTTGCTGTAGGTCTCTTCTCAGACTTTCATTTTCCTCCCTTAAGTCTTCGTTTTCGGCATTCAATGAGTCATACTGTGTCTGTAGCTTGTGAAGTTGGACCTTCAGATCACTCTTCTCCACATTTACCTTTTCTTTTTGAGCTCGTAAATCTGAAAGTTCTCGACGAAGAGTGTTGATTTCGTTTTCAAGATCATCGCGTTCTTTCTCTGAAAGTTCCATTTTGTATTTGTGGTCACTCAGCTCTTTGTTCACGGCGTCGTAATTTTGAGTTGAATCATAGGAATGCCTCTTGAGGTCTGCCAATTCCTTCTTCAGTCTGTCGTTGAGTTTGTTCGTTTCGTCAAGGAGGTTCTGCAATTGATCTAGCTTCAACTGAATCATCTTGACATCATCTTCAAGATCCCACACTTGGCTCTTTAACTTCTGATTTTCTTTTTCCGCTTGAGCTTTTCCTTCAAGTGCCGCTTTTAGAGCCGCTTCAAGTTCGGATATCTTACTCTCGGCCACAAGATAGTCCTTGTATTTTGAATCTGGTCCATCGTGATCTGCAAGTGCTTGTTCCAAGACTTCAATTCTATTATTTGCTTCAGCAAGATCATCCGTCAAATCGTCAATCTTCTGTTCTGACAGCTTGTTTTGATTCTGTAGGCGAGTTATCATATTTTGCAGAGATTTCAGTTCTTGTTCAATAGCAGCATATTTCTTTCGCCATTGAAGAAGCTCATTTTTGTCTGCTTTGTGATTATCTTGAGCACTCTTAAGACTATCTTCGAGCTCAGCGATCCTGTTATCGCGACAGTCCAAGCTGTGCTCCAGCGAGTCTTTCTCACGTTGGTATTCGCCAATTTCATTTTCCAATTTTCCGATTTTCTTCTTCAAGATGAATAGATCACTCTTTGCGTCTTCTTTTTCTCTTAGAGCACTTTGGAAGGACGATTCGAGCTCACCGATCTTCTTTTGTGTTACGACTTCCCTTCCTTTCTTGGCCTTTCTTGCGTCTGCATTTGCAAGTTGCTGTTGAAGGCCATCGTACTTCTTCTGTAAAATAGCGAGATCATTTTTCAGCTTGTTGTTTTCATGTCTCAATGAATCCAACTGGATCTTCAAGTTCGAGATTTCTTTTAGATGCGCAGCGTGTTCTTTTTTCAGACGGTCCCTCTCTGCTTCCAGGGCCTCATTTCGTGCTTCAGCCTGGTGGAACTTTTGAGACGCCGTCATAAGCTCGAGTTGTAATTTTTCGATCTCTCTCTGAGCATTTTGGTAGTTGTTCTTTAAGTCGCTAATTGTACTCTGTAGAGTCAAGATGTCGCTCTTAAGCTTGTCATTGTCATTCTTGTATGCAACCAGAGCATTGCCCCTCGGCGTTACGTTGTCCGCCCTTTCCCTCAAAAGAAGTTGAAGTCGTGCAACCTCATCTTGACTCTTTTGGTAATCATCTCGATATTTGGCCACTTTCTTTTTCAAGGCCGATATTTCAGCGCCCACGTTATTACTGCCAGATCTCAGTTGGTCAATTATGCTGTCTCTATCCATAAGATCCTTCTTAAGAGCTTCAATCAAAGCCTGTAATTCTGCAATTTTTTGTTGCAGCATGTTTTTCTCTTCCTTTGCTTTTCTGAGTTCTATTTTTGCGTCGTCTAAGTCCGACCTCATCTGTGCGTTGTTCTTTTTGGCATTCTGAAGCTCACGTTCAAGCTCTACAATTCTTTCTTGAGCGTCTTGAAGGTGTTCATTAAGGAAATCGTTATCTTGAATTTTCGCCCTAATCGTCATCTCATCGTCAGCCAAATGTTGTTTGGCCACAAAGAGCGCTTTGTCTAACTCGTCTCGCTTTGCATGGGATTTGTCTAGTGCGTTATTGGCTGACAACACATTTTCTCTTAGTTTTCTAATCTCTCTTTCCTGTGTTTCTATCTCCTTTTTCAAATTTTCAATGAGTTCATCTTTGACATTTGAATCCTGTCCTCCGTTTTCTAATATTTTCATATATTCTTGGATCTTTCGTCGAGCTTTGTTGAGCTCTTCTTCTTTGACTTGAATATCTTCTAGAGCATCTTCCAATTCGCCTTGTAGCTGCTTTCGCTTATTACTTTCAGTGTCAAGCTGGATCTCGACGTCACTAAGTCGACTGTTAGCGTCATCAGCACTCTTTTTTAAGATATCTAGCTCTCTGACTGCTTCGTCATATTTATCTTCCAACGGTTTATAGTCTCGCTTTATTGCTTCTAATTCTTTCTCGAGGGCAAGGTTTCTGCTGTTGGTATGGTCCAGTGAGGCCTCAAGCTTGGACTTATGTCCATGCGAGTCAACAAGCTGGTCATTCAAAGATCGCTTTTTGTCATCCAGTAGTCTGTGGTCAGCTTCAAGCTCTTTAAGCCTTCTTTTTAAGTCCTGATTTTCATCTTGAAGTCGTTTTATTTCATCAGCATCGCCAAAGTCAAAGTTAGGGTTGGACTCGTATGTAGCCTGGACCTGTTCTACTTGAAGTGGTTGGATTACGGGTAATTTATCCATGGACGCTAATTGTGCTTTGAGGTCAGCAATTTCTGATTCTAGAGCTTTCTTGTTGTCCCTAAGGTCATCTATGTCTTTTTCGTTTTTATCTAGTTCGTCTTCAAGTGCGTGCAGTTTATCCTGCAAGTTGTTGTAGAGACGTTTACTCTCGGCAAGCTCATCTTTTAGCTTCCTTATTTCGGCCTCAAGGTCGTCGTTTTCCTCCTCCGTTTCTTTTCTCTTTGCAATTGCTTCTTGCAATCGATATTCAAGGTCTTTTATTTTATCAAAAGCATCTTTAGCATCCTCAACTGCACGTTCCCTTTCAGAGGCCAGCTTCTGATTTGCAGCTTTCAGCTGATTGATCGTGTTCTTCAAAGACATGATATCCTCTAACATCTTCGCTTGTTCTGCTTTCAAATCATCATTGGAATCCCTGGCTGTTTCCAAACTTGCCTTCAGTGATTCAACTTGGTCTTCTAGATACTCTTTTGCAGCCTTGAGCTTTTTTATCAAAGATTCACGATGATTGTTTTCTTGGTTATGCTTGTCTACAGCTAATCTATGCTCCACCAGCTCCTGGTCCATGCTCAACAGCTCATCTTGGTGCTTGTTCACTCTGTCACTAACATTACGCAGCTGATTTTTTAGAGACCTTATTTCAGCTTCATCTGATTCTGCTTGTGTTTCAATCGCGGACAATTTGCTGGTCTTTTCAGCGAGGTCTTTTTTCAGATCATCGTTCTCTCTGTTCAATCGACTCAGAGCAAGCTCTGCTTCTCTAAGTTTCCTTTGCAGTGCGGCATTTTCGTGTTGCAGGTCTACCAGTTGTTCGTGAATGTGCTTGTTTTCAGCTTCGGATTTATTAAACTTGCCGCGGTAATTCTCAAGTTCTTTTCTTAGTGCGTTTTCTCGATCTTCTCCCGCTTTTAATAAGGCCTCTAGTTCATAAACCCTGCCGTCGTCTGGGGCCGATTGAAGATTGTCCTCGAAGCTCATAGGAATAGAGGACTCAACGACACTTACGCTGACGGGAGTTACTGCGTTCAATGAAGCTCGCTCTAACTGTGCTAAGAGTTCCCGAATCTTTTCCTTGTTGATATCATTTGCATGCTTGCTGGCTTCTAGCTGTTTGCGCAGGGAATTGATCTCATCTTCCAGAGCCTTCTTTTGCCTCTTCAAAGCATTATTGCTGGCTTCTTTATCTTTAAGCTCTGCAGTAAGATCTTCGCATAGTCGATCTTTGTCTTTCAGTTGGTTTTGAGCTTGTACCAGGTCGTTTTTCATTTTACGATTTTTGGTCTGCAACTCCTCACTTTCATGCTGGTAATAGGCTTTCTCTTTCTCGAGATTACTAACCTTTGTTTCAAGGTTACTGAGCTTGTAGGTCAAGGAACTGATATCTTGTTCCAATAATTCTCTTACATCCTTTAGGTCATGGATAGCTGCTTCAAGTTCAGCTATTCTGTTTCGTGCGTCAGTAAGCTTTTTAGCGGAGTCTTTCTTTTCTTGAACGAGAGAGTCATTCTTGGCGTTGGCCGAAACAAGTTCACGTCGAAGTGATTCTAAGTCAGATTCAGCAGCTCTAAGTTTGGAGCTAAGATCTTCAAGAGATCCTTCGTGTTTCTTAACTATTTTTCCAAGACTGACATTCGCCTTCTCTTCATGCGATGCTTTCATTTCTGACTTGTTTTTGTCTTCTTTTAGATCAATGATGGTCCTGTTGGCATCACCCAGACTGTTTTTGAGATCATCTCTTTGCTTCGTCAGCAAGTCGACGTTATCCTGGAGTTTAGAAACTTTTGGTCTCAAGTCAGCCAAAAGCTCAGCTAGTTCACTTTTGTCATCAGCAAGCTCATCGTTTTCCTTTTCCAGAGTGGCACATTTTTTCTTGAGATTGATGAGTTCTTTTCTGATCTCTGTGCTGTCCTCGTCTTTTCCTTCCAATTCTCGCATCAGTGCGTCAATCTTGTCATTTTTATCTTTGATTTCGCTGTCTAGCAAAGCGTTATCCTTCCTCAAAGCATCATTGTCTTTTTCAAGCTTATAAACCTTCTGTCGCAGAGTAGATAAGTCCTTCTCAAGTTCTTGAACCTTAAAGATGTTAATGTCGATACTTTGGGGTGCCTTCTCTCCTTTGAATTCCTTTCTCACACCTTCAAGGTTTTTCAATTTCTCCAAGAGTCCCGCCACTTGTACCTCTGCATCATTTCTCTCCTTGGTAGTGCGATCAAGTATTGCATTCAGTCTTTCGATCTCTGAATCCTTCTCATCGCACTTCCTTTCAAAAGTTTTGATATCTTCTTCCTTTGCGTCGCACTGAGCTTGCGCTTCGGAAAGGTCTGCTTTGCAGTCGTCGATATCCTCGGTCAGATCTCGCACCTTGTTTCTGAGGTGGTCAATGGTTTGGTCTTTATCGCCTATCTCTTTCTTCAAGCTATCAATTATTCCTTGGTACTCCATTGCTTGCTTCTTTGAAATTGCGGCATCGTCTCGTAACTTATTGGAGCTCATAGACAAATCATTGGCTTCACTTTCATAGACAGCTCTCTCTTTGTGTGTGTTGTCGAGCTCGTCCTCGAGAACATTCAACTTCTGCTGCAGAGCCAATACTTGTGCATGCAAATCGTTACGTGCTTTTTCGGACTCTGCTAACTTCGATTCCAGCTCTGAAACCTGTCAAAAGAAAGTTTGTTTGATAAAAAATATATAAAATTGCATTTTATATCAGTATAGGCATTTTATATCAGTATAGGCATTTTACTGGGCTGCATATAACGATGCACACTGACTTATCAAATCTCAACGATGTTACGTAACATTGGATGCAAGCTAACTCATCAGTCGTTACACATAGCTTGCCTGCTCTTTCGAAGCGATCAATCTTCAGGCACGCTAGTCTAAACCATAAATCTAAAAGCTACTGATGCATCTAACTATTCTAGCTGCGGAAAAAGTTTTTTAACAATAAGAATATAAATTAATTGCCTTGTAGTCGTTTGTGTGAGCATGTATAGTTGACTCCCACTACCATAATGCTTTGCGAATTTTCTTTCTTATTTAAATCTTGAGAATAGTAAGAAAATTGGTGATTATTAACTGAACAAAAGAAAGTGTGCAAAGGAGTCCTGGTAGTAGAGGTCAATGACGCAATCATGCGAACGTCCTATTACTGAGGGCTTAAACGAAGTTATAAATATCTCTATTATTTTCCTACTCTTCACTTCTGTAAACCAAAATGCAAACGAAATCAACTGCTGCAGTCCACGCGCAAATGCTGAGGTTACTCACGCTTATGCTTATTAGTGTGTGTTACTATTAGTGCCAAAGCCGCTAAATCAGAAAACTCTGTGGCACCCAAAAGGGGTTACCTAATCTAATTCTTCTTAACGGATTTTTGCTATTAAGTACCTTGCGAGTATGGCTTTTCAGTTCATAGTGAGCGTTGTTTCTTTCATCAATAGCACTCTTGTGATCACTTTCCAAGTCACCGAGTGCCCTCTTGTGGTCTAAGGATTCTTCGTGCAGTTTTTCATTTTCAAGAATGAGTGCCTCAAGTTTTCCTTCGAGCTTGTACATCTCTTCGTTACGATCATCTAATGCCTGCAAAGCAACCAGTCGTACCTTCATTATATATATTTTAGCATAAAATTACAAAGACTCAGTCCCCCAGGCTTTCTCTAACTGACATTTCTGATTAACTATGGATTCTGAGAAGTCAATTGTTACGTGCCCAGCTAAGATGAACCCTTCCTCACATTCCCTTTTGTGATTCCAGACCATGTCTAATATTCAAATAGTATCCGTTTCTTCACACGTTTGAGAGGGTTCAATGGCTTTAAGAAGAACTCAACAAAAACTGAAAAGAAATTTAAAAATAAAATTTTTGAGGAGCAAAAAATTTACCTTTTGCAAATCAGCAATCTTGGCCTTCAACTCTTCAATCTGCTTGGTCTTTTTGGCACATTCCTTCGTCTTTTGTTCAAGCATCTTCTCCGTTTCAGAAAGTTTTTGTTGTAACATTGTTAGTTCATTCTTCAATTTTGCATACTTTCCTTTCTCATTCTCCAGTTCAGCAAGAATCTCGCTCTTCTGCCTTCCAAAGCTTTCTACTTGGCATTCTAGTTTTGTCACTTGACCTTTAGCATGACTGTAATTGTTTTGGAGCTCGGCGTTTTCGTACTCTAAACGATGTATCAAACTCTCCAACTCAGTCACCTTAAAAGTAAAATTAAAGTGAGTTAGACGTCGGAATCCTGTTAATATTTCTTGGGATCAAATAGGATCTAACCTTCTGTGTCAATGCCATCTTGTCCTGATTTGCCTGCTCAAGTTCTTCCGAATCAAATCCAAAGCCATCTGGTGGGCCAGACTCAACTGCTTGAACGTTTTCGATGGTAATGACATCAAGTTTACTCTCAACAGGTCTAGACTTAGCAAGCTCAAGCTCATTTTCAAGCTGCATATTCCTGCTTCTGGATGCTGCAAGCTCAGCCTCAAGGTCACTGATCTTCTGCTTCAAAGTTCTTTCGTTCTGAAGCAAGTTTGTAATTTTGTTCTGAGACTTTTCGTAGGCGTCTTCTGCACTGCGAAGCTTGCGTTGAAGAAGGAAGACCTACAGCAATRTTATTTTTTATTGGATTAATCTTCAACTTGATTACAAAGGAACATTGTGTTTATAATCTCTATTGATAGCAAGTATTTTCTTTACCGAATACCCGCAGTATTTTCTTTGGGTTGCAAGGAAAACATTGGTTTTCAGTTTCCTTGGGAAATTCCCTGGGATATTTCCCATGTTTCGGGACCGATTTCCGGGTACTCTTAAGGAAACGTCCAGGAACAAATCCCATGAAAAAAGATACACAGGCGGTCAAATCCCAATAAAAGATACACAGACGGTCAAATCCCAATAAAAGATACACAGAAACCCATCCCATGAAAAACAAATTAAACCAGCCGACATGCCACGTAATTATGTTACAACCATGTTCAGTTAAGCCCAGAAATTTGGCTTATTGCGATTCATATTTGAGTGTAATTCAAACCTTATCTAGATCTAGTGGTAACCAACAAAATGAGTAAGTTAACTGTGGAGCAAGTAAAGTCTTGAAAAAATCAGTAAAATTCCAAAAAAGTACCTGGTTTTGAAGGCTGTCTCTTTCTGTTTTCATTCCCTCGAGAGCGTCCTGCAGATCGTCATTGCTCTTTTGTACTGCAACCAACTCATGCTGAAAGTTTTCCTTCTGCTTTTGAGAGATTTCCAATGCAGTTTGGCTTTTTGACAATTCCTGTCGGAGTCCGTCAACCTTTCCTTCTAAAGAGATGATCCTGTTTTCCATTTTTCCAATTTGGTTATTTTTGGAAATGAGCTCTTCTTTCCTGGCGTCTGCTTTATTCTGGCTCTCGATCAAATCCCTTTGAGAGTTTCCGTACAGCTCCTTTAACTTCTTCAGCTCAAGACGAAGTTTTTCCACCTTGTCTTTCAGTTCGGTCTTTTGCTTGTTCAAGTTATCAATCTGGAATTAAATTATTAGTTTCAATAAGTTGTTACTGAATTCATGGGGAAATAAAGTTAAGACTAAAACTATGGAATATAACAAGATTGTAATATTCCTTTGCTCATTCTTCTTAATGTTTATATAGCATTCTCAAACTCAATAATTCATGAGCTAATTGGCCAACCAGATCATCTAGATTTGGTCAGGTGGATTGGTTTTGAAACCAAATGAAACAAGTTATAGTAAGTTGTTTTCGTTAGGTATAAATCCCTAACTTGAATTATCTTTTCTACGTACGCAAAAAAAGGACAAATAAATTTTCGCAAGTTGAAACCGCTAGTGTTTGAAATATTTTTAGCACTAGTGCTGAAAACATTTCTTAATCTACATATTGATTGGGTCTCAAAAGGGCTAGAATTCCATGGCAACTTTCTACCCCTCCCTCCCCATCCTTACCTATGTCTGTCTCTCTTATAACTTCCTACTTGACAAGCCTATTATTTATTTATCTATTCTAACTTGATCATACCGATGCTTGAACATGAACTAAGCATACCGATGCTTGCTTGGCCTACGACCTCGCGGCGCTTTCAAATGTTTTCTCGTGTTTGGAAACCCTAATGAAAAACTCGCACTAGTTGGTGAAATATTACTTACGAAATGGGATGGACGTTGTTTGAAAGCACGCTACTGATGATGTAAATACAAGTATCACAAAGTAAGAAAGGACTATACCTGAGCCTCGTATTTAGCTGTCTTCAACTGATTAGTTTTCTTTTGTGTTTCCAGCTCTTTCTGCAACCTCTCATTCTCAGATAGAAGACCCTCAAGCTTGGCTTGTAGCTCGATGTAATCATTATGTAATTCTTCTTTTTCAGCGGACATGTGATTATAACTAGCCTCGACTTTGAGCATCTCATCACGTGTGACGGTGTATTCGTCATCACCATGGCCTTGCAAAGTCCTGATGTCAAACTTTGCTTGATGAGAATTTAGCTCATGCCTAAAAACAAAAAAAAAAACGATAAGGCTTTTTTGCTGCTCTTTTGGTTTTGAGAGTGCGTACGCCTCTTAATAATGCGAACACGGTATTTGGCATCATACGTGTTACGTTATTACCAGATTTGTTTTCTGTACTACTCACTTCAGGTCATCTATCTCTCTTTCAAGAGTTAGTTTATCCTTTCTGAGTTGCGCAATGACCCTGTCTTTGCTCTCCATTTCCTTGGTTTGCGCTTCAAGCCTCCAGTCTCTCTCAACAATAAGTCTCTTGGAGGAAGCGTTCTCCTCTTGAAACTTCCTGCTTTCGCGCTTGGAAGTCCGACACTTGTCGTCTAAGCTGTTCTTTTGTCGCAAGAGTTCCTCGATTTGAAACTGAAGATTTCGAATCTGCGATGTCGGGATAAAAAGCATTAATGTTAGTATGGCATTGGATTAAACCTTACAAACTGTAATGACACGAGTGAAAAACGTCTGCGCATGCTCTAAATCCTTATGCAAATGAGTCAAATCATATGTGAATTTGACTTTCAAACATGCCTCATAAATTGGACTTCACAAAATGCCAAAACTTAGTGTCCATGCTTGAAACTTAAGGCTAATTCTTTCATATTGTTTTATTTAATACAGTATCGTGGTCTGACAAAAGTATACTTGCGAAAGTTTTTGTATACTTGGAGAAAACAAACATTTATTTTCTCACTCGAACTCTTCAAAGTTCATAGAAAACGTGCTGAAATGCACGCATGCGCAAACGTTTTTCTGTAGTGTCAACTGTAATACGTTGCGGACGTTTGTAAATAATTAATTGGCGGAAAATCTAACTAATCTTGATATTTCGAGTGTGCATATATCTAATTTGCAACACCGAGACAGCTTTTACGTAGTGCGGTAAGAAAATAACCAATGTTGATGGTGAGAAATACACAACTGAGTCTGCGTGGTGCTCTTTTGAATTGTTCTTGTGGCTTATTGGTTAACTGAACCAGCGTCTTGGCGACTTATGGCAACTCCAATAACATTCACGCTTGGAATGAATTGATGACCTCATTTTAGTTATGTAACAGCCCTACTCTGTTATCCCTCTATTATCACTGAATTGTGATTTTTCTTACGAAGCCTGTTAATCCTATAATGATATGGCTTGGAGTTGCTATTTTGAAATAACCCCTCCCCCTCCCTTGGGCTTTATACTCAGGTTGATTTAGAAAGAACTAGAAGGACAATCCGATAATGATTCAGATAAACATGAACAAATACCACACATTTCTATATGAAAGCTTTGTTTGATTCCTTAAGTACCGGTAAAGAAAATGAAAATAATAACATTAAGAAATGCAGCATCTCTGGAAACATTTTCAGGCGAGAGAAGTTAGACAAGGCAATGACGAAACGAATTGGTCAAAATTTTGGTTTTCCAAAAAAGAAGAAGAAGAAGAAGAAGAAGAAGAAGAANGAAGAAGAAGAAGAAGAAGAAGAAGAAGAAGAAGAAGAAGAAGAAGAAGAAGAAGAAAAAGACAACTTATCCCTTAAGAATGTTATTTATAGGGTGCACGCATCATTAAGTTTTCTAGCTTTTACGATTAATATGTATGAGTAAATAGTAAGTCATGCATTGTGAATGAATTCCTAGAATGTTTAACCATATCAAAATGCAAATATTTTTCTCATAAAACAGATTCCAATGTAGAAAAAGGTCATTGCTCCATAAATGCAAATAAAAAACATTAGAAAGGTAATAAAAGTATTAGCAACTTAATTTCTTTTTAAAGGGGACCCTTGTAAACACCCTGTGAACTCTTTTGTTTGGTGTTGTTTTAGGCGAGTGCAAAAATTACAGTTGTCAGGCCATTTGATTGAAATGAAGTGAGCTCAGTTCTTTTTATTTTAGCTACTTTTTTGTTTGAAAAATCTTCGACTAAGAAACGTGGCGTTTAAAGTTTAATCTTTTTTAAAGATGATATTTCCCCATAATTGATATCTCACACACTAGCTTGGATTGTGTCGACTGTTTTAATTATCAATAAAATGTATAGTGTAAAATTCCGTTTGTGCTAATTAGTGAATTAGTGCTAAATGACAGAGATAAAGCAGTAGAAAAGGACAGACGTTGTAGTATTTTGCACAACAGCTCATAACCAATGTCTCTCAGTTGAAAAGGGAAGAAAGTACCATTAATCCATATTTATTGCTTTTTATTGAAGAAGTTCATAAAAACTGAGCCAAAACTTATTACAGGCCACGTTCATAAGATATAGTGTTTTTCTTCAAACTGCATGACAAGGAAATGAAAATCGTTGTCATTGCCTTTAAGATTGAAAAAAAAAAAATGTATATAATTATTATTATACTGTATATTTGAATAAATATTTGAATCAGGAATAAGCAATTCACTTATTTAGCGCAGGGGTGTCATACATTTTGAATTACATTTTTCCCCCCAAGCGCGAATAGAAATTTGTTTGTTCCATATTTTGAGCAAGGCACTGAAGTTAAGTATTGCAAATTGGTATCCAGAAGCTACGCAAGATTAGAAATCACAATACATTGTTCTATAGATAATAAATACATATTCACACTATTGTTCTTTTGGTCTAAATAAAAACATTGCCGGCTTAAAAGCCATTATAGGTCTTTCGAAAGCGTACAAGACTGAGAAGATGTTTGGAAGTCGAATTAGATGCCTGCATTCTGAAAACCTTTTTTTTTTTTTAAAGTTACGTTTCAAAACTTTTACCAACAATTCTAGATATTTAAATTTTACAATATACATACACACATTTAAACGTTGTATATAAAATTACATTAAATTAGCTTATTCCAAGTTTCCCATTGATTGTACTTAATTGTACTTAAAAGTGCAATTCAAATGTACATATTCGGTGAAAAAAAGAGAATTAACGGCTTAAAAGCTTTTTATAGGGTCTTTCTTACGTTATGCAATTTAAATTTCTATAGTTCCAAATTCAACTAGCCGAGACGAACAAACATATTTAAAATCAAACAACATTAATTTGCTTTGTCTGAAACGCAAGCATAGGTTTACATTTAAAATTGACAAGGAGCTTGGAAAAAATAACAGCAGTGCTCGTCAACTCTTTTAAGTAAATAAATAGAGCGAAATACTCGAGTTAGTTTGCCTTAAATTATGCTAATTGCAATACACGCCAGTCATTCGTCTAAACGAAAATTGCCTGCTGAACTTTTTTTTGTACAATTCGCGTTAATTCATTTGGGATTAAAGTGAATAAAGATATATTAGTAGGCAAGTATTATTGCATTAACAACTTTTCACAAGGACAGTTGTCGCTATCCGGGAAACCATGATAATCAGCTTGTTTGCTTACTTATGTTTACATATACAAACATTTCCCTAAAGTTACTACAGATAAGGCTAGTTTATTAGAAATGATTAAAGATTAAGGAATAAGATAGATCGATACGAATTGATAAATGCACATTGTAATTAGGGTCTACCATACTAACACTCGATAATGCAGGTTTCACCATTCAGCCCTGCTGTAGCAAATACTTTGACGAGTGGACATATTTATTTAGCTACAGCTTGTAGCAACTTGTTTTTTTGTTTTATTTATTTTTTGACCCCAAATTTAAAAAAAGTTTTTACGGCTAAAATTTTAAACTAAATTAAAGTACAGTCTACATTGCCCAAGCTTTTTTCTCGCTTTTTGTGCGAGTGAAATGAACTGCGCTTCCACGCCCCTCGGCTAAAGCCAAAACTTTGATCAAATTTTCCCACAAACATGCTAAGATCCAAGCTCAATTCTAGGGGTGACTTACCTGGTTAAATTGATTGTCGTAGTCTAAAAAAAGAAGGAATGTTTTATCGAGTCGTATCGAGAGAGAAGACGTCACGAATGTCCGTCTATTCCAGAGATGAACTCGGAATGAACACAACCTCTGTTTGACAACTCAAACTCCAAATCACATAGAGGGATACGCATGAGAAAATGACCAATGACCTCTTAAAGATTTCATGCAAAATAATAAGACAATGACTAGCAATAATTACATATGGTTTTGTCCAATAGGATTTTAGCAGATCGACCCTGTATAACTTTTATGTCATACTTTGCATAGTTTAGATTTTGAATATAGAAATCAGACGGGAACCGAATACGCAAAAAATCTTAATTATTAAAAAGCTTCAAAGAAGAAGCGGTCACTTGAAAACAAGACAACTTTCGGTTGATACAACTATTAATCTCATTTTTTTGTTGTAAAAACATTTAGTCTGCTTCAGCCAGCATTCGTATGTTTACATAACTCTTTGGTTGTTATTATTGTCAAGTACTCTTTATCACATTGCTATTTTGCTTTTAGTAATAAGTGTCTAATCGTTTTATCACTATAAATGAGTTTGATTATTAAAAAAAACAAAGTCAGTTTAAAAGAAAGACTTTGCATTCTTAGAATGCCCAAAGCTTTAAAGTGAAGTCATCCGATACCAGTCGATTTATGCGCCAAGGACACGTACACCAACCCATTCAAGTTTATCAGCCATAAATATTAACCTCATTGAAATTATCGGCTTTTTATAACTAACTCAACAACCGCCCACAGAGATACTAGTCATAATTAAAAAAATAACTTTTAAGGGTAATAAACACTGACAGTTCATAAAGGTCTTTCCTTGCAAACCAGGAAAATGTTTTGTGTATTTTCTATTTTGGAAAATGCAAATTATGGTTCGAATCGAATGAATTCACATAATTGAAAACTAGAGCATTTCGAAAGGACTGCAGTTTTAAGTTTATTCAATTTAACTTAACTTGACATAGGTTTAATAGGTGCTTTTACGTTACGAGAATAAATTACGTACCCTCGAAACATATGCGACAAAAAATTGAGACTTCAGCTAAAGTCATAAATAATCGATTTTTTAAACATCCTTAAGTGACTTTACCAAATATAGATTATATGCATGATGAATAGAACTTGTGCAGGAACGATACTGGCACCGGATTGATATCGATATATGCAAATAACATTAAAATTATTTAGGGTGAATCGAGAGGAAAAATTAGGAATTTTATTTTATGAACAGAATATTTTTTTTGAATCCAAATTCTCATTAGTAGCAGAAGCTTTTTTTTTTCTTCTGAATTATTCATTTTTAATAATCGAATACAACAACTAGAAAATGAATTTAGTTGGGTCTAGTGTTGGCAACAGTGACATCCATCTTTTTAAAAGCATCAATTTAATTTTTTAAATCTAATTTCTTAGATTAAAAAAAAAAAAAAAAAAAAAAAAAAAAAAAANAAAAAAAAAAAAAAAAAAAAAAAAAAAAAAAAAGAAGAAGAAGAAGAAAAGAGGATTCGATTAACGGTTTTTTGATAATTCCGCCTACATCAATCTTCTTGAAAGAATTAAATATAACCTCAACTGTAAAAGAGATGCTGGACTGGATATGATGTATATTCTGGAAAGAAGTTGTGTTACTCATTTGCCAATATCATCCTTCTTGATGACGCTTCTAGTCTTGGTAATTGCTAAAGATTGTCAAACAACAAGGACTAGTAAAGCAATGAAGCGAAGTAGATTTGAGACTCGGCTAAAACACGCATTGGGAGATCACATACCTTAATAATGAGTCGGAAATAACGCAACTTAGCCAATGAACTCAACAGTGACTAAGTGAGGAACTGAACTAGAAGACTAGCAGATTTTTATCCATATTTAGACTCGTAAGATTAAACACAATGCTTGACTTCTCTTACGAAAGTGCTTTATCTTATCAAGTTGCTCTACCATCACTTGCTAGTCTCTGAAGAATATTTGGTAAATTTTATTATTTTTTATTTTTTTACGATTGCTTATGCAAAGATAAAAGTTAGTTTCGAAGTAGGGCAATTTTTGTTTCGATAACATCTCTAAAGGAATGAAAACTGTATAAGACACAATTGATTCAATATCAATTATAAGATTCTAAATAAAAATAAATAATAAGAATAAAAAATTATTTAAAAAATCGATAAAAGCATTTTCGAGGAAAATAGAGAATCACTAAATCTAACACTTGTTGTATTGATTGAAACAACATTTGATCTAGTGTAGTATAAAGAAATGAACATCAAACAAAATGTTTCAATTGTTCGTAAAAGTCAGAGCATCACGCTCCGTGTCCAGTCGGTGTATTAATTGACAACGGAATTCAAATCAGTACTCAATTATTGTGCCTCGTATCTTGGCATAAAAACTATATGAAGAGATATTGAAGAGATATCTTTATCAATGACGTCTAAATTTGTGTACAAAATCTAATGAAATTGCGAAGAATGTACAACATTTTTCAGGGTACATTTTCAATAGCATTTTTGATGGTTAAATATGCAAAAATGTTAGACTGTAAGTCTGAAGTCGTAATGAGTTCAAAGAAGTTTAGGTCAATCAAATGAAAAAGTATATTGAAATGAACTGTGTCTGCAAGCTTTGGAAGAAACTAGAAAAAAACTGGTAACCTCAGTCAGTGCCTACCTTATGTTGTACAAAGGAGTCTCTCCTTCTAAGAACGCCGAAGGATTTAATTAGGTGGATTTACATCTCAATGTGTTTGTATTAAAGTTGGTGTAATGTTTTAATAGCGATTATAGGTAAGCTGTGAATGGCTAAGGCTCATCCTTGTGTGATCAGACATTTATTAGAAATACTTAATGTCTCAGGAATGTCAGAAGAAAAGCACAGTAAGTCACTGTCTGCCACCTTCCTAGGAACTTTGCATACTTTAGAAATCTTACCTCTATACTGTGTTTATCGGCTAACGAGTCCAAGACATCTTTAAAATGTTTGTAGGCGGTATCACCAATCCCAGACAAGGAGTCCCTCGCTTTTACCAAACGCTTGTCAGCTTCTAGATCAGAATAGTAAAATTGAGATGATCGAATAGGAGCCGAGCGGTAATGTTTTCGCACAGTGACAGCGGGCTTAGAAGTAATGTCGTGATCTGGATCGCCGCCATTCATCTTAGGTTCCAGGTTTTCCTCCGTCATTTTGTTCAAATTATTAATTACACCAAAAAGTCTTTAGAAGTAAATTTTTAAATAGTTTGACTTTGACAGTGCGGAGTTTATCGGTGTTTTACCTTCCTTTCCCGTTCAAGATAAACAAAACCAATGATGACAGAGCCCGTTACATTGTTAGCAAATCTGTCGTGACATAATTCGCATCGCTTAACACACAATGAAGTACATTAATCAGTTTTAATCACATAAATCAATCCGTGTGGGAGGGTGCCATGAGCCAGCAGCTATTACTATTTTCAAAGGCCTTCGTACCTTTTAACAATAACATTTTACACCAACAGGAATTAAACAGCAACGCCATCATTGCTATAATAATCTTAGATTGAAATATTTTAAATTTGACAATTGATGGTTGCAAGAATTTTCAACAAAGTAAAAAGACAAAAGAATGGCGGCCATCTTGGTGCGGTCAACAATGGATGCTAATGATAATTCTTTTGTTAAATAATACCAATATGGCCTTGTTGACGTAACGTGCTATCGAGGAACGGTTAATCATTGTTAAAATATTATTAATCAAGACAAAACCTAAAATGTACGTATGATAAATAAAATCATTGTCTGATGATAATACAGTCATGAGATGTGATAGCAAACACATTATTACTAGAAATTATATCCTAGGAGCAAACTTCTATCGTTTTTCACTTCTAAACAACTCATCGATACGATCTATTTTAATTTGCCAAACCTAAAGCCGATGATCCCATAGAAACCTTAGCTTACTTATAGTTAGAAGTAAAATGCAATTTACAACGCAGAAGGAAAGAAAATAACCGACAAGTACAAAAAGGTACATGAAAACATGACAAAGGTTATTCAAATGAAACTATAGTTATCCGTTATATCGTTGCATATCCGTTGTGGATGTTTTYATGATGGTAAACTATTATCTTGCATAGACAAAATAAGTGAATGGCTTCCTAGATAAGGTAAGAGCTTGGAATGCCCACTACAACACTGCAAAACACAAAATAAAAAGTTTTTCCCGTGTGAAAAGATATAGCTGGCGTTAAATCAGTTGTCATATGATAATTTAGTATTAAGGCTTTCTAAGTGCTAATCTTTACTGTTCTTATTTAATAATTTATACAGTAATACAACTGATGCATCCAGTGGAACATTTCCTGAGGACTTATGAACTAAACTTTTCCCTTTTCGAAAGAGTAAAGGATAGTTAGTAAAAATATAAAGCTACTTCAAAAAAACTGCAATAATTTATCATGAGCATCTTGACAACCAGTATTCTATAAATGTCTTTTTATGATAGATATCACTTTGATATGAACTAATCTAATAGATCCGTTGGGGAAGGCTGCGGGTACCAAACAAACTTTCAAAAGTTAGGGAAAATAGTAATTCCAAATTGAATCAGTGGAGTTGCGCATGAGATGATTATTAAGTCTCGATTGGGGGATAGAGAAGGTTATGTAAGAAAACGTCATTCATCTAGGAGCTCCTGTTTTAAGACTAAACATTTATTTGAGAGGTGGCTTTTTTTGTTTTTTTTTTTTGTTTTTTTTTTTTTTTTTGGCTTTTTCGTATAAATAAAGAATATCTGAAGGGCTTATGGTTGAGTAAACTGAAAGGAAAGTAATGTATGATGTAAATTTAAGGAATTCTTGTACAAATGGCTCTTTTTATGGCCTGTTCAATAATAAAGTTGTTTTGGTTCTAAGCGCTAATCCTCTTATTGTCAAGGTAAGATATAAAGAATTTGTTCATGATATTTTTTTTCACCGACCGTGGGAAAATCGAAAAGTGGACTGATTAACATCGTGCGCAAATCCTTGTTATATAAAAATCGTGCGCTCTGCTGGCTACCCTACTACCAGGCTATCATTTAATTATATCAATGTAACTTTGAAGTACAAATATAATTGATTGATTGATTAGGCTTTCAGCTGATATACCATTAGTCGAGAAAGTTCAAAATAGCCGACCGCTTTGTTTAACTTTTAATTTCTGAGGAGGCTACAAAGACTCTACTTGAGGAAAAAAAAAACAACAAAATGTGGCTTATTCACCTATTGGGCACTCTTAGTCCCAACGGGATTAATAAAGGCTTTGCTTTTAACTAACCTTTTCTTTTGTCTTTTGATTGTTTTTCTTTCGTTTCCTTGCCCACCTTGTTCTCTTTGGTTTCTTTTGTCTTATTTTAAGGTAAGGTAATAAGGTCAACTTTATTTACACACGCTAGCGTAAATCAACAAATGCTGGTTTCTATTAGGGGCGTGCCGCAATAGAAACGCTTTAAAAAATATACATAAAAAACTAATGTAAGTATGATATATTAGATTTAAAATGTTTAAAGAAAAACAAATGATAGTAAAGGCCAAAGAAGTGATTTTCCGTTTAAAGGATGTAAGCGATTTGCAGCTTCGTATTTCCTCTGGTAGTGCATTCCATARCTTAGCACCACTATAACTAAAACTGTTTTTCAAGAATTCCGTTATGGGTACAGAAGGAACAGAAAATTTGTTTGTTGTGTTTCTCAACATGCAGTTACTGTTACATTAAACATTAATTTAGCCTTTACTTGGTCTCTTTGTTCCGAAAGGGTGGTCCAGCCAAGTTTGCGCATTGCGATCTCTGATTGACCCGCTTCATTCTTGCAGTTCGTGATCAATTTAGCGCATCTGTTTTGTAGACGTTGCAGTCTTTGGGCAAGACCATTCCCAAGCGAATCCCAGACTTCACAACAGTAGCCGAAGTGGTGTTGAACTAGACCATTAAAGCAGAAATGAGTGTGCTACGGTCAGCAAAGTCTTTGAGCCTCTTCATAGCGCCTATTGCACACGAGACTTTTTTGGCAATATCATCTGTATGCTTATCCCAAGTGGGGCAATCATCAATTCGCACACCATGCGATGTTTATGTAGATAAGAAAGAGAAGAGGTCCAGGAATGGACCCTTGGGGGACTCCGCAGTAAATTTGCCTAGAACTCAAGAGTATACCATTTACCCGACATTTCTGTTTTCCAGTTGTTAAATACGAACTCAATAATTTCAGAGCACTATCTGTGAGACCATAGACGACTTTCATAACTCAGTTTTTTCAGATAGAGAAAATGAAGCCTTTTTACCAGAAACTATTAATGATATCTGAGAAAATACTTCACGAAAACTATTTCCAGAAAATTTTGTAGAATTTGACTGCATACCAAAGAAGTTATGAAAGAACGAAAATAGAGAGTTTTGTATGTATTTATCACTGGAAGCATTGGTGGCCTCGTTTTGGCGCATTTTAAAAACTTCAAATGCTCACAACTTGTAAAGGATTTATTAATTTAAGTAGAAACTCACACGCCTTATCTAAATCAACAAGATCAATGATTTAAAAGGATTTTCACTCCAAAAACATTGATTTTTAATGTTTATGCAAATTAGCAGCAGCCAGTTATGAAAGTCGTGTATAGGCCTCAAGTTTGTTAACCAGGATTTGATGATCTAAGGTGTCGAATGCTTTTTTAAGATCTAAAAATACAACCAAATTGTATAGGCCACAGTCCATGTTTACGTACAAACCATTCATTTGTGCAGTTGAGTGGGATTGTCTGAAGCCAAACTGATGATCTGAGAGTATATTTTTAGATCTTAAATAGTTCGCAAGCTGTTCATATACAATCTTTTCCAGAATTTTGCTGACAACAGGCAATATGGAAATAGGTCCACTCTGGCCATTTTCCATTCATCGGGAAATAACTGCGAGTTAATTGCGGCATTAAAGATCGTCATTAACGGCCTAGCGATAACAGGCGCGGACAATTTCAGAACTCATTATATGAACACTCCTTTCTACCACCTCTTTTTCTTTTACTCCGACGAAGGACTAGCGTCCGAAACGTCAGTAAGTTTTTTCATCTTTTCACGGTGTATAATTTACTCTTTTATCATTACCAAAAGAAAAGCAAGCTAAATATGACTTTTAAATATTTAGTTTTAACAAAAAAAGGTTTATTTTTTTGTGGTTATTGCCTCCTAATGAAGGCGTAGCCACTTTGTCATCGTGTTGTGAATGTCCGAAATAGTGCACAGGAAGCCCCAAAATACCTAATATATAAACTTTGAAACCACACCAATCAGTAGTAACGCGGAGATTCATCTCTCGGACAATAAATAAACTTTGGGGCATAGCTTTAATAAACAAATCTTATATTACCGTGCAAGGGCGTGCTAGACTTAGAGTTCAAGTAAGTAAACTTTATTTACAGACAATTCATTAATACTTTTTGTCACAACTTTCATTTGTTCTTACTAAACGGTGAAATGAAAGGCTATGCAAGATGTTTTTACCCTTAGCTTTTTCCATCTCGGCAAATCGTAGTATTTTAACTATCGCTCAAACACTATTGGAATTTTAACTTCTTTCCGTTGCTTCTGCAAATTCTAAGTTGGTTATTGTCGGCGATCGATCATTCAAACTTTTTAATTTTTGGGGGGGGTTCTGCAGATCTTTGGTTATATGCCACTTCTCAAGACAGCTGTATGTTAGTTAAGACATAGTTCACTTCCATTACCTGTACATCCACCCTGCAAGACCCCTGGCTACAGTCCTGAATTGATCTATTGCAAAGTTCATCTGCTATGGAATCATAATTCTAGGATTTTTAGTTTTTGATTTATCAAACTAGGACCATACTTCCGCCAGACATCGAGTGCTGAACCGTCGTATGGCTGCGCGAAGCATTTTTTTTACAATAACTTACAAATTTCTCGCGCGCTGATTGGTTATTTTTTATCATCAATAAGAGGACAGACAGATAAAGCTGTCGTCAACCAGCGCGCGCTCTATCCGTTGGTTGTTTTGATCGCTAAAAATGAGAAGTTTTTATTGTTTTTGTTATTGTAAAAAACAAATTGACATCAGATTTTTATGTGTCTGTCCTCTTATTGACAATAAATTTCGCCATCACATTGTCAAAGTAATATGCGGATCCATGAGGCTACGCCTCGTGGATCCACACTACCTTGACAAATGAATGTGATGACGCAATTTATTGTCAATAAGAGGACAGACACATAAAAATCTGATGTCAATTTATTAAACGGCTACGCCGGAGAATT